ATCAAATTATTTACCTTCCTGGAACAAATGACTTGGAAACGAATACATTCCTATCTGTTTGAATTGCATAGAATATCCATATATCATTCATATGATGCATATTTGAATTTATTTAATTCATACAATTTATTTATTCCTTCTTGAAACAAAAATGAAAACAAAATTTTTTCTAAATAAATCTCGGGCTAAACGAAAATCTTTTTAAAAAAGCCATTTTTGTCAGTTTTTGATATGATGTATAACAAACACATATTGTAACAAATATATTGAATAAAAAAACAAATATTAGTATTTTTGAAAAATTTTCATTTCCATTTGAAAAAATACGGTCACATTATTATATAACCACTAATTAAAAACAAAATTCAAAAATAATGATGGTCTTTGTTTATATATATTATATTATATTATATATATAATATATATATATATATATATATTGACATGAATTATCTTTAAATGTATATATAAATAAATAATTGATTCATATCTAAATATATTTTGCGCAATACAGTCTGGCATTTTCTTATGTTCACAGAATTTCTAACTTTATAAATAATAAATAATAAACAAAATTTCTAAATCTACGTGGAAATAAATGGCGTAATGATCTATTTAAATCATTTATATTCACAAATGTAAACTATTATAGAAAGTAGTAATGTACTGAACTTTAATGGAAAATTTAAGAGTTTCCAGATACACATTCTTAAAATTAATCTTCAATTTTTATTACGACCTAAAATTTTAAATAACTAATTAAATTAAAATAATAGTCTTATTAATTATTTTGAATTTTGAACTTATCTACTATTTAATTATTAATAGAGCTATATAAAATTTATAGGTTATTATATTATTTACTTTATCAGTAACTAATTATTTTTTCTCATACAATTGCCAATCAGAAAATATAAATTATGGCAATCATGTGATTTGTGCCTTCATATGTGTTAATAAAATAGTAAATAAAGTTTGTTAATAAAATAGTTTATAAAATAGTTTTTTAGATGGGAAAATTAAGTTTCTCGCCATATTCATATATTTAATTTGTTTTTAATAATTTAATTCCTCCTACTTCTCGAAGGAGAAGTCTTCGTTTTGGACATAAAATCCGACTTGCTAATTTTATGTTTTCTGGATTTTCCAGGTAAATCTAAATAATTGAAAAAATACCACCTACACCTAATTGTGTAACAATTTTACAATGAAAGTAAAACATTAAGGACATGAGTATGACCCACATTTAGCTTTATTTTTATATTTTGTATTTTATTACAAACGTTCTTACAAAGTGTTTTCTTTTTCAAACATTATACTTATCCGATAAGTGAATCTTAGCTTTTATGTGGGTTTTTAATCGCCTCTATATAACAGAGGTTGTTAACCTTTTTTTTAGTAGCCACCCACGTATAAAATATTATTTTGTAATAGACTTTTGAAATAAATACATGCTATATGGAGTTTACTAACTTTTTTCGACCATTATAAATACTTTTGGTCATACAAATTGAGAATTTATTATTTTTATAAATAATCATAATCATCTGACAAAGTTTTTGAATGATTTTGTATCAACCTTTTAGGTAAAAATAATAATTTCTAAATAATCATCATTGGGAAAGTTTACGAATTTTTGGGTTAATTTTTAAAATTTTAATTTATTCGTAAATAAGGATAAGTTTTAAAAATGTTTATTGGTTGATTGATCGGATTGTTTTGTAAAATTTTGGTCCATATTTTGATAACTATTTATATTTTACTATTGCCAAATTTAGTATTTTTTCTTCTTTAATGTATTATTTAATTTATTATTATGTTGTTTACCACTGATATAAAAGATCAGAAATAGATCATTATACCGTTCCTGGAACCTAAAAATAACTAACAAAAAACACATTTGTAATGTGATATAATAACATTTTATTTAATACATTGAATTCACTAAGTTTTACATCTAGATTTTATTTAATTACACAACGACGTGATAATCTTGAAAATTTTGTAAGCTAATATTTATATAAATCTTGGATATAAATAATAAGAAAAATTAAAAATTAGATGGATAAAAATTTAATAACTTATCACAAAAGCAATTATTACATCTAATATTGCACAATTTACTAAATGGTTTTTTACAATTCTACTATTTTTTATATTATATAATATTCATTATATTAGACGGAAAATATGTAATTTTGATAGCTTGGTTTTTAATTTATAACATATTTGTATTTTTAACTTCCCGTAGGGTAAGTTATTGTAATGGGCCGAAAATCGGAATTGAAAATTTTTACATTTCTCGACGTTTTGAAGGTTTCTGAACATTTTGGCATACCTCAGAAAAAATGGATGTGTGTGTGTGTGTGTGTGTGTGTGTATGTGTGTGTGTGTGTATGTATGTGTGGATACAAATTTCCAGTCACGTTTTAGGGCGCACGGATCAACCGATTTGAATGGTTCAAAAAACATTCGATTCCTATTGATAGGGAAAAGAGCTGATTAGTTTTTGGCAAAGGCAGGTCCAGCCGTTTCGGAGATACGGAGCAAGAGTGCGGAAAATAGAAATCGAATTTTTGAGAGAACGGAGTATCCGATTTGAATGATCTAAAAAACATTCAATTAGTAATGATTGGGATAAGTGTTTATTAGTTTTTGGCAAAGGCAGGCCCAGCCATTTCGAAGATACGGAGCTAAATATGTAAAAAATGGCAGTTTTTGAGAGAACTAAGCGTCCGATTTGAATGATTCAAAAAACTTTCTGCTTGTCTTAACAAAATAATTGATTTTGGAAAAAAAATTTTGTTCGATTTTTTTTTTTTTTTTTTTAGTTTTTTGTTGAAACAAATAATTTCAACTTTGCAATTCAGTTTATACAATTCTTATAAATATTAGACAATGTTACAATATTTATAATAATCTATTTGAAAACATTCAGTATTCCTCGAACATTTCGTTACGGTACGGGAAGTTCCAGCAATTTGCCTTAAGGCACGATGCCACCCACCCCACTAGTTAACATTTAAATTGTACTGAGATATTTGATGAAGTTTCCGAAAGGCTCCAAACAAAATTTTCTAATTTTTCTTTAACTAATAACGAAATTTGGGCTATGATTGAGAAAATCCAAACATATTTGATTTAATTCAGATATCATATAATTATGGATTTTTTTGAAAGATTGTCACTTCTTCTTATTTTTTCATAAAACTTCATCATTTGCTTCATCATTAATCCCTGCTTGATATGGCGTATTTTGGATTATATACTGATTTTGAACAAAAGACTTCAAGATTTTCAATTTTCCTCAAATCATCTACCAAAAAGGCTATAATTCCACAAGTAAATATGGTTTAAATATAATTTGGCATCATTGCAAATAAATATTAGAAAAATTAGAATTTTGGATCATCAGTGCCTTGATGATATTTGAACTACTAACTAAATCTGGGTATTTTGATTTCATTTACTTAATCTGGGATTGGGAAAACTATCCGATTCAAATCAATTTGTTCTAAAAATATTATTTAGAAAACTATCAACGTAAAAATTGTTTTGGAATTATTTTATATTATCGTGGAATTATTTTTTGTAAAAACTGACACTTGTTTTTTAATTAATTTTATTAAATGAACTCTGGATTCATTACTTTCCTGGACAAGGATTGCATATCAATTTGAGAAATTTGGAACTAATATTTCTTAAATTTACCATTTTGAAATTTACCATGAAGAATACTATAATTTCATAAATTCATTTGAATTTCATGTCTTTGCAACTAAAAATAAGAAGGATCTTCAATTGTTCTATAGAGTGATCCTCAATTACAAGGATATAAAGCATCTAGTGCGATTAATTTATTAAATTTCATCAATTAATAAATATATTTCCTACCTATAAAGCCAAAAAATCCAGATAAATATCCTATTATTAAATAGCCCTAAAAATTAGTCTAAAGATTTGATTTATTTTATTTATTTGTCCACCATATCGAAATACCATTTGGCTAAAAACGATTATACATGGTTCATTTTTGTGAGTTGGAGTAAACTTTCTTTAACTGGAGATCTTTTTGGAGATCTTGAATTATTTTGATAGTTGATGCTTTGGTTTTCATTGTTTTCTGGAGATGGTGATGATGCACCACTGCCTCTTCTGGATGGAGACAGTCTCAACTTTGTATCTAGATGACGAAATCTTGGGGAAATAGATAATAATAAAATATTAATTATTATGAAAAGGTAATATAATATTATCATTAATAAAATTTATTATATGGTGTTATAAAGACATATTAAAGACAATCTTGGAAGGAGGATTGCTGGATGAAGCTTTTAACCAGATTCGACAACAAATATATTATTCATTCGGGAGATTTTTAATTTTCAATTAAATTCTTGTACAGAATTTATTTGGCGTCGTTTCATAGATTTATCAAGTAGTAAACATTATGATATTGTCACAAATCGTTAAAAGTATTAAGCCAAATAATAAAATCTTTACAAAGAAAGTTTACTCATCAATATAGCATTTATAAATTTTAGAACCAGATATTGTTTGGATTGCTTTTTGATTGCTAATTTATTAAGGACATTTGCAAAAATTTTGTTAAATTATCTGTATTTTAATTTACCTTAATGACAAATCGTTCCTTAAACCGTCATCTCCTTGTAATAAGAATTCCAAAGGCCAACTTATCCAAGATAATCCTTGTGAATTGCTGAAAAATTAAAAAATAATTTAATCTTCAATACCTTTGTTAACATTCAATTTTTAATGATTGGGAGAAGTGGTAATTAGTTTTTGGCAAAGGCAGGTCCAGCCGTTTCGGAGAAAAACGGCTGTTTTTGAGAGAAATAAGCATCCGATTTAAATGATTCAAAAAGCTTTCTGTTGGTGTAGACGAAACAGCTTTTGGGGATTTTTTTTTGAATCTTTATAGATATTATATAAATAATTATAAAATTGTAACTTTTATAATACAATTACGTTCCTGCAAAATATTTATATTATTTGATTAATATTCGTTTCTCCTGTAAAAGTTCAAAACGCATTGAACTGAATATTTTTAATCGTTTTATATTTATATGAACTTTGTAGTTAGCAAGAATAAATAAAAAATTTAAAATAAATGTTTTATATCGCAGCAGGATTGATATTTTCATATTTGTTCAATGTAAATGTTTTTAAGCTATATTCTATGGTATTGCTTTTGAAAAAAATATCCTTCATTTTTAATACATTTGCGTTACTTTTATTACTATAGTTCAGTCCATTAAGGTCCGGATTTATTTCTGGACTTTTTTATAAAACGAATTACAAAATGAAATATATATATATATATATATTATATATATAATATATATATATATATATATAGATATATAATTTATTTATAAAATACTAGTACTTCTACAAATATACAACAATGCACCATGAATGTCTACCAATTTCTGAACTTGTGCCTAAGATGATGATTATAAAAAAAATATATTTCTAGTAATGGTATACTAATTCACAATAAAACAATATAAACTTTAGAGTCAATTATCCATAAATTTAGTTTTTTCTTACCTCGGTGGATTAATGGTAACAGATTCCTTAGACGATGATGCGTGGTTCGGCGAAGAATGTTCCTTAAGAGATCTCCCATTGAATCTTTCTTTTGGCTTGATACCAGGAAGAGCTTTTGCTATTGCAGGATTGTAAATTTTAGGATCACTGACCATTCGAACGAAAAATGAACGTTTGTACGCCAGAGTTTCCTTCTTTTTCTTTTCCAGGACATCGGAAAATTCGTCTCTTTCCTCCTAGAAAAAATAATGGATAAATTGGTATAATTTCTGAGATATTCTTCTAATTGAACTTAAGTTGTTGTATGTATGAACTTAAGATAGTTTTTTAGGTTACCTGTGCTTTTTCCAAAGCTTGTGTTTCCAATAGCTCAGTTGCAACTTCTACAATGACGCTCCAGGCATGGTCTAAAAAATTAAGAGTTCTATTATTTGAAATCATCTAAACAAAAAACATAATATCGTCTTGTTATTGGGCTATTATTGCGAAAGAGTCAACTTAAACCAACATTATATTTTTTTTTTATTTCGTTCTAGTTTCCTGATATCATCAGTTCTTTTCAAGGAGTTTTTCCATTTCTGATCACTTGTATTAGCATTATGCCAAGGATATCTTGCCTAACAATGAGTGAAAATTTCCTGACTATTACCACACTTAAATCAAACTAACTGATAAAATATAGAATCTATTTTAATTATATAAAAATGCTTCACGATGAGTTCATTAGAATTCGACAAATTAGATTTTTTTAATTATCTGGCGAGGACAGACTCTTGAGAATATGATATTAGGATTCCTTACTAGAATTTATCTCATTTTTAAAGTGGATGTTTTTCATCATTTTACCTATATCGTCTTCTGTTCCATTTTGAGCAACTGGACAAAATCTGATCACGTATTTATAGTTGACATGAGCAGGAACCATATGGATCTTTCCTGATGCATTTATGATACTTAGAAGTTTTTCGTTTAGTTTGTCTGATCCTTTAAGTCGAAAACATACTAGACCCAACTGAAAAATAAGAGAAAATATAAATGAAAGTTGAAATAATAGACCATAATTAATTAGTGATCTTAAATAGAATTATAGATCCCAAAATCGAGAGGTTTCATAATTATCTGTTATTCGAGAGATTTTATATGTTACCTTAACTTCATTACAAACTTCGAATCTGTTGTCACCCAAGACCAGAAGTTCAAATCTCTTGGCAAGTTGACAATGATGTCTTATATAGTTTTGTAGACCACTAATTCCATAACTTCTCATCACAAACCATAATTTTAGAGATCTGAATCTTCTACTCAGTGGGACACCCCAATGTCTGAAAATATACAACGATGTATTAAAAATCAATTCAAAATATAAGAGTTTTAAATTTTTTTTATTTTTGCAAAATTTGATTTTAATTATTTCCACCTGTAATCTATGGCAGCGTCCGAATACCCATGTTGCAAATACAAAGGATCGACAACTAGTGCTGAAGTCAACCTGATTCGATCTCGAACCCACAAAGTCGAACAATCGAAATTAACTAACAACCATTTATTTGGATTCGTATTGAAAGAATCTGCGTAATCTATTCCTCTTAAGAGATACTTTAGTTCTGGACAAATAAACGCATTTCCTGCATAAGCTCCGTCCACATGTAACCAAACGCCTGAAAAAGAGTAAAGGAAATTATGAAAATATATATGATGTTACTATATTTTTTTATTATTTCTGTGTTTTTATTACCTGGAAAATTTCGGCAAACTGGACCGATCTCTTCCAGGGCATCAAAAGCACAGCTTCCAGTGGTTCCCAAAGTTGTTGACACAAAAAATGGGACCAGACCTTCAAATTCATCGGTTTCCATTGCCTACAGAATAGATTTTTAGTACATATTATAAATTTCATTCTTATTTATATAATTTAAGTTAAATATCATAATTTTATCCTACTGTAATCATACTGTTATGCTTTTTTGTTATACTTTTTTTTGCAAAAAGACCAATTTGGAATAATTTAAAAATTTTCCATCGCGAATGCAATTTTCTATAACTCAAGAGGACATTCAATACTTTTTATATTATGTTTATGATTAAATATTATTTTTTTTTAACTTTAATTTGCCTTTTTTGTGTTGTTTGTAATGTTTCAACTATTTTTAATTATTAATCACATTGCAGTCTGAATATTTTTGTCTTTTTTTTCTTGCTACCAAAATTTCTAGGTATGATTTATATGGTGAAATAAAAACTATTTGATTTAAGCCATTTTTTCTAGTTTGCAATAATATTTATGTACAATCATGATGTACAATTACATATACAAGTAGTATCTCCAAGTTGCACTTTTTATTATTTATACATCTTTGTACAAAACTACTGGTATATGGCATCATGCAAATTGCTGAAACTTCCCGTTTATTTTTTTTTTAATTTTGAAAAAAGTAGATTTTTGAGAAATTTTAATAATTGAAATCCGTTGAACCGTGTTCTGAAAATCGTCGACGAAAATTTGTATCCGCAACACACACACAAACAAACACCACGCACACACATACATCAATTTTTTCTAAGGTATGCGAAAATGTTCAGAAACCTCTGAAACGTAAAGATATGCAAAAATTTCCATTTTCGATTTTTTTGAGATTACTATAACTTATCCTACGGGAAATTAATTATTGTTATTAAATTGAAAAATTTTTTTTTAAAGTATTTTTTTTTCAAAAATGTTAATCTTTTTTAAAAAAAATTTTTTGGTACGGGAAGTTCCAGCAATTTGCCTTAAGGCACGATGCCATGCGCTAGTTTGCAATTAAATGTATTATTATAATTTGAATATTCTCACAACGTATAATTTAAATAATATTTTTCCCTTTGCACAAAAATTGTCTATTACCTTTTTAGAGTCGATATTCAATTTATTATTCATCAAATTATTATGTACTTCCTATGTAAAAAATGGGTTTTCAATGTAAGCAATTCCTTTTATATACGGAAACCATTCAAAAGCATAAGATCGTATTACTTATTTATTTAAATGCAATAAACGAAGATAACATAAAAATTTACTTTTATAATCATATTAAATTTAAGTGAAGTCATAAAGATTTCTATTGCATATTCACTCATTCATCGAATCGTTTTGATTTAATATTAGATTTTATTTTATGGAGGTGTATCGGTATATATGTATATATATATATATATATATATATATATATATATATATATATATATATATATTATAAATAGACTAATTGGTCTGACAAACATTGTTCAGTCATTTCTCTACTGAAGGTTCGTTTCTAAATGTTAATTGCAATGACAAACCGATCATGTCATATTTGAAGTATGACTTTAATTACATTATTGTTTTTAAACATTATATATATTTTTAATGCTATTATAATTATATAATTTAGAATTTATAATTATATAAATGTGTATAACGGTTGACACTAAAAATTGTTATATGATGTATTTATTTTTACTTAAATGCCATCTTGTACAGTAGCAAATAAGTTTTACTTCAATCGCGTGTGAACCTTACGAGCACTCTTTTTTCAAATTTATTCTATTAATTTATTACCTTTTTCAAAGTGCTTCCTCGCAAACTGGACTTCTCGTCCGGTTCCAAAATCCTCAATTTAACAAAGCAGATCATAGCTGCTTTTTCTACACAAGAATGAGCTTCCTTCGAGCAATAGGCCATCAACTTGGACAACAGTTGCCCTTCTTCGGTATAAGGGTGCTGATGCTTAAGACGTTTTATTGCTTGAGCCCTTGCTGCCAACATTGTCACCAGGATGCATTCACTGGCCGAAGTCTAAAAGATAAGTTTTAAATTTATTTTTTATATATATATTTTTTTTAATGTTGCCAAAATAAATCAGGTGTATTTTAAATGATTGTCACCTGAATGACGCCACCTCCTTGACTATTTTCTTTAAATGCTAAAAATTCATCTGGTAATCCTATTGCTTTGCCTGAAATACAATTAATATAGTAATAATAATAATGATTATAAATAATTAAAATATAAAATATAACAATTATAAATACACCAAATGTAGAAAAATGCAGAAAAAAATAATAGCAAACCTCAGTTTTTTAATTAGCAAATTTTGATACGATTTTTGCATACGCTATTTGATTTTTATAGATTGCCAAATATAACAAACTTTTGGTAAATTATTGGCATTACTAAATATAATTATATGAGGTTATTAAATAAATTATAATTCTGGAGAACGCCAATAATTTAATTAACTTTGTAAAATTGTTTAAAATTATAATTAATTCATTCTAAATAAAATTTACCATAAATAATTCCAATAATAATTCCATTCATTGGTAATATAATTTCTATGTCATTTTAGTACAGAGGGATTAAATAACAGTTTATTTTTTAATGCATAGATTAAAAGAATTTAATTTTGTTTACATTGAGTTATTTCAAAATGATTTTTGCAGACGTCATTAGGTTGTTTTTGATAGATTTGTGATTATTTCAAATAAATATAATAATGTATTGATTATTAAAAACTATGGAGATCAAGTGTCCATGATATTTATATAGAAAATCATCAATATTTTTTTTAATAGTATGATTATTTTTAAGTTATATATATATATATATATATATATATATACAATTTTCAAGGTACGAGAATCGTTGGTTTAGTAAGCAAATGTGTAGGTTTTTAGTACAATCACTTATACCCATAAGGATCTTAAATTTATATTTTATTCCCTCATCGTCATAAAATAGCCATATATACTAATATCAGCATGAAATTAAGTGCAAAAATATCGATCCTTTGAATTTTGCAATGAGCACAACAAGAACGATATTGAAATTCGATTATTTAAATAATTACTTACCTACGCACATTTATTTATAATTTTAATTAAATTGAATTTAAATTTTTAGTGTTACGTCATCTATCATTTAATAAAATTATTAATATTTTTAGTGGTTGCATATAAAAGATATAGATGTTATAGAATCAAGCAAGTAGTAAATGAGAAAAGCACTCTTAAATTATTCAAAATTAAATTTAACTAAATGATAACAACAACAAATTATTCAATTGACTAATGTGTAAATATTGTTTATTAACCGAGTCCATAAATATTTCTAAATTTATATTATAATTATGTGTAATTATATGTCTATATGGGTTATTTATTTATATATAACTTATTTTTTACCTCAGATTTTTTTCTACACTATTTTCTGTCGGAATATTCATGATGCTCATATTCAAAGCTCAAAGGATTGAAATTGTGTCATAGAATAATGAATTTAGAATGTTTTTATATATAACTAGCAAACCGGGCAAACTCCGTTTCACCACCAGATGGTTTCACTTTATTTAACATTTCGTTTGGTGATTAAAAGATGAAGAAAAAAATTGCCTGCTCTTGAAATTGAATAAAAATGTGCACAATACACGTGATTGATTTGATGGTTTCCAATTGAAATGTTAGGAAACAAATAACTTATTTTTTTACATTTTTTGCACAATGCCGGTTTTTTACATGACAAATAACTTATTTTTTTACATTTTTTGCACAATGCCGGTTTTTTACATGAAATTAACTGAGCAGAGAACAATGAGTAGCTGTCAAACAAATGAGTAGCAGTCAAACAAAAAATATTAGTTTGTAGCACATGCTAAGTATCAGAGATGACGCTGTATGTGAAAAGGTGTTTTCCGCTTTTCTGCTGAAATTTTTCTCCAATTTTCTTTGCTATAAACCTCACGGAGTCCGAGACCTTTCCAACGAATGCAAAATCGTCGAAATCGGTTCCTGCGTTCTGGAGTTATATCGTCAGGAAGGAAAACCCGACTTATTTTTATATAATAGATAAATATAGACCAGAACGTCCATGTTTTCTGGTGCACGGCTTATGACTTAATGGTCTTCAATTAATTTTGATCGATTTTTATATATTGCCAAAATAAATGGCGCAAACAATTATAAATCAAGCAAAAATATAAAAATGTCGTATTAAAAATTGGCAGAGATTAGGAAGAGAAAATGCTAGTCACGAATGTAGTAGAAAAAATGGATATTTTTTACTATGATAATCGAATTTTTTTAGGTCATACTTAATAAATATACAAACATAAAATTTGAAGACTTGGTCTTACCAATCTGATCAAAAAAATCTTTTTAAATTGCTGTGGATCTTTTTTAGTTTAGTTGAAAAGCTATTCGACAACAGGGTTTTATTTTTATGATAATTTAATGGTTTAAAATAATATTCAAAATTTGCAATAGAAGATTTTTTGATATTTACTTACCTAACCAATCTAATACTATGGTCTCTAACTCTGTACATGCTGGACTGGCAGCCTGCAAAAGGAACATAATCATACTCACTCACATGTATATATATATATATATATATATATATATATATATATCTTCTTCTTACCCAGGAGAATCCGATGCATCCAATGGCATCCGACAGCATGTCTCCTAATATCGAAGGATAAGAGTTGCCAGATGGGAAATAAGCATGAAATCGAGGATGTTGCCAGTGCGTGACACCTGGCATAATTTTATTTTCGACATCTGCCATTATTTTTTCCCAGTTTTCGCCTTCTTCAGGCGCTTCATGTGGGATCAGAGGTCGCAAGTACCCTGGCTCGACACATGGGGTCACTCGACGCTCTTGTAACGTGTCCATATATTGGCAAATGTATTCGACCATTTCTTTGCCGCGTTTTCTGAATTCTTCTGTATTCATTTTGCTGCGGTAAAGAAAATATTTATACAAATATTGTCATACCAGAAACGTGTTTTTCAACGTGAGATTGACCTCACACTCGAAAACAATTTAAACTAGTTGGTATTGTTATTTTGGCTTGAGGCAAGTTACATGAACTTCCCGATATGTGTAAATAATCAACTTAATCAATGAAAATTTAATTAATTTATGAGTGATTAAAAGTATTTTGAGTGGATTTATTACACATAATTGAAAACTTACGTACACGAGTTTGGAGTATTATCTAAAAGCAAATTTTCAAAAATCAACAATTTTTATAGTTGAACCAGTTTCCGTAGGACTTTAATGATTTAGTATGTTTATTAAGACCAAGTTCTCTATCGTTATAACAAGTAAATCATCTAATTATAATTTTAACAAACGTCAAAAAAACTACTTATTTTCTCAAACTTTGATGAATTTTTAAAATTAAACTACTCGTCGTAAGGCCGTAATTTTTCAGTAAGTTCAGTAAGACCATGATATATATCGCCAAAGTTTCATAAAAATCGACTTAAATTTTTTTTTCAATAATTAATTACAAGAAACGGCTCGGTAGATTTTCATCTAAAACTATTCAGTATCATTCCCAGCTAATATCTTTCGAACAGTTTTTGATTTTTTAAAATCGATTCGGTAGTATGAGCTTAAATGTGGACGAAAAGTTTACCACTTTTTCCCAAATTACATAGAAACGGCTCGGCCAATCGTCGTACAAAACTGAGAAACGCTATTCCTCATCGGGATACATCGAATGGCTTTTAAATTTGTGAAATAGGTCCAGCCGTTTTTGAGAAAACGTCGATTTACGGCAAAAAATCTGTTCACATACACACACACATACTTTTTTCCATATTTGGTCTCATTCGATTCAGAATAGCTTGAAACGTCGAGAAAACATAAAATTAGCGATTCGAATTTTTTTATGAAAACATACACTTCTCCATCGGGAAGTTAAAGAGACACGACTTTAATCTACTTAGTTAAATAATTTTAGTTCCCAATTATCAATTTGTTATCAACTCAAATTTATGTAGGCATAGATTTGAAAGATGAGATTTCCTAAAAAGATGAGATTTGCGATTACTGCTCCAAAACCATATCTAAATAGTTTCATTATCATCAAATACCCTTTGTTTTCCTCGATTCGGCCCTGTTTAATGTCGTCCACAGAAATATTCCAATTTCGCGCCCACAACTACGTGGAATTATTTCCATCGCAATTCTCCGTTCAGGAATTCAAAAGAAAACTTTACCGTTGAACTCTGAGACAAGCGCCTCGACGATTATTAGGGATGATCTCATATTTCGATATAGGGGTTGATTGAATCATATTGATTTGTCGAAATAAGGGATATACACTTTATTAATTTCAGTTTTCCAAATATATAAGTGTTGGCGATCATAAGGATGGGTAGGAATAAGACGATTTAAGGAATTTATGAATGGAGAAGCTAAAATGGATAGATAAGGACAATTAAAAGGAAAGGAAATTGGATCGGACCCATTGTCCAAAGAGTTCCTTCTACACCACATCGTCTAAGAAAAAAAAGTATGGATTCTTGCAAAACTTTTTTTTTCAATAATGCTTGCAATATTTTAATAAATCATTTAATTTTTCAATAGGTCTTCATACACCTAAGTTACAAATAGTTCTTCTTAAAACGGTTTTCTGGTGGTCAGTATCATCAAAGTTACCAAATTGTGATGCATTTGCAATAAAATTACTCATTATAATTTAGTGAAAAGAGAACTAAAAAAGCACTGCCAAATGATACCTCCACCATTCTATCTGTGAAAAGGAACTAAGTATGTTGTGTACCCATAGTTGTGAACAATGAATGATGATTACATTCAGTACTTATCGACCACCACTTGTTGACTACAAAACAACACTTGAGTTTGGGTTGACCCCGGAACTTGAAACGGTCACCAGGCTTCAAGAAGGCATTTTTGTCCTTTATCTTTTGTATCCCCGATGTGCATTTAAATTAACCTCGACACCCCCACGGCCACGTCGATGGCGGTTTATTTTAAGAAATCTCGAAAATGTCGGTTACCAGGCAAGGAAGACCTACTGGGGCAACTGCTTCTGTCAGTCAGTCAAGTGTTTCCTAGTCAATATGCGATTCTGAAATCGCGCACAAAAGCCTTCATTAACCCCGAGTGCCATCGAAGATATTTCTCGAACCGCGCGTGGGAAAAATGAGTAATAAATAAGCGACAAGCCAACGATAGGCGGTAATGTGGGAGCTGCTCGCAGATTTATTCAAATACTTTTACGCCCAAGTCAATAAAAAAAAAGAGTGCGAGTAAGGTTCAGACGCGAGTGAAGTAAAATTTATTTGCTACTGTACAAGATGGCATTTAAGTAAAAATAAATACATCATATGATAATTTTGAAATATGTTTATTAGTAATATGGTAACACTCTTGATGCACACATTTATTAGTGTCAATCATTATACACATTTATATAATGATAAATTATAAATTATATATTTATAATAGCATTAAAAATATGTATAATATTTAAAAACAATAATATAATTCAAGTCATACTTCAAATATGATATGATCGGTTTGTCATTGTAATTAGCATTTAGAAATGAACCTTCATTAGAGAAATGAAGTAAATGCTGTTTAATAAATTCTATAATATTCGTTCCCACAGTGGATTATGTTAAACAACGCCTAAACAAATATTGTTTTCGCTACTTCACTCATCGTGTAATTGTGTTTGAAGAACTTCATGTAATAAAAATTAACATACATTCATTGACTGCTTGTATTTTTTTTACTTTTTCGCTGGCGGTATAATCTTATTCTTTGAACAGCTGTAATATCTGTCTTATCTAAAAATTATTTTCCATTTTAATAACTAATAAAGCTTTATAGAAACTACGAATAATATAGAAATAATTTCTAATCAATAAACTTATGTTTAGCACAGGGCCCAAATGTTTAATTTGTTTTATTATTTTCAAGGAACATGGTAAAATATTCTTCTGATTCAGGCATTTTTCATTAAACCAAAATTTGTACTACGATATAACTTTAAAATGTTTATTTATCTATGCCGATTTCCTTGTTGGTATCGGTAAGCATAAAACGTTGATTTCGGTACGCATACAACGACATTTCTCTATTCACATATAGGACGACCAATCACAATCGACCCGTATAGAAATGATTTCATCGAAAGTGAATGACGTACGGGCGTAACGCAATTTCCGTTGCATTTGTACGGATTTACACCGTAGTCGCGCCTAAACAAGTTTTCCTTAAAAAAATAAAAAAATACAAGTTTTCTCGTAATCAAAAATACACATAATGTTTGGTGGGGTACTTTTGAATATCACCACTAATCACCGAGGGGGAGGAGGAATCTAAAAATCCTTAAAAAATCGATCACGTGATTAATGGACGCCCCCAGATATATTCCATTTATATTATTTTAATTTTTACTGAAAATAAATAGTCACCAGCTGCCTTTCTAAAAGGAAAACGATTCGATAATTGCAGGAAATCAACACAGCGTGCTCGTTCTGAAATTCATCATCAGAAAATTATGAATAATTTTTCGAAATAGACCTTCCCCGACATCAGAAACTGATGAATAGGAAACGGATGGGAAAAACACTTTTCGCAATGATATGGCGACCTGACGTTTTGTGGCGGTTGATTTGAATTCTTATTAGGGGATAGTAATTGTTGTCTGGATATAAATAGATCATTTATATATATATATATATATATATATATATATACATATATATTAGGGTGGTCCTTAATATGGTCATTTCCGAATTTTCTTGCTCCCGGAGGCTCAAGTGCTTCCAAATTGATAAAAAAATCCTCTATAAGTTTTAGCTCTTGATATAGTCTTTTAGATAGTGCGCAATACTCTCAAAGTTTTGTTTGAAGATAGCATGGGAAAATTTAGAAAAACTTTAAAAATGTTTTTAGATATAACTTACCGAACAAATAAATGAGTTTTATTCAAAATTCGAATCTCTACAAAACAAATGATAAAAAACCTATTTTGCAGAGCGTCGAATTTTCAATAAAAGATGACATGAACTATAACTTTTGATTCACTTGTCGCTAAGTTATATCTTAACTTTCTTAATTCGGCATAGTTATTCAACATTTTTTGTGTTTTTTTTTATTTTGTTCAATTTAATTCAATCAATTGCGTATTATATTCAAATTCAGAATATTTGTTAGAAATATTGTCTTTTTCAATCATTTTCTTCATGATTGAAATGTTTCTCATTTGTTAGCATGGGTAAGGAGTAATCTTTTAGATCAAACAAACGATTTAGTTCCAGATGTCGTTTTCTTACAAACACCAGATTGAAAAAGAACAGAAAGACTTTGCAGTAAAAAATTAAGTGGGAAAATTAGTAGAATGATTTCGCAAACGATTAAAAATAACTTGAAACCTCGAAAGCCGGATTTTCTAGTTCGGCTGACATTAAAAATTTGATTTCTCTTAAATTGTTGAGCACAACTGAACATACTTTCAAAGTAGTATTATTAAAATCAATTGATTGCTGCAAAATATCTTCATTAATTAGATATATCATTAAAATTTTGTTCTTGAATTATTCAAATTATTCACTATTTTCCATCATTGGTATTAAATTTTGCTGGTGTGGAAAGCGTAGACAAATTGAATGAACTTGCATGTCATATTAAATAGTTCTGTATGGATGCACTCAAAATGGGTCAATAAAACGGGACAAAATAGTCGGCAATGGGGTTGTATAATAGATTCTTTAATGGGGTGTCAATAAAAACTCCTATATGAAATTCCTCACAGTTCAGGGACGAATTCCAGAATGCACAGATTATTTTAATTTACGTGTTGCTAACCAGAACCAGAAGTTCTACTATCAGCTTGCTCTTGCAGTTGTTTTTCTTATAAACTAAAAGCTATAATAATTATAAGTTATAAATTTGTATATGTAAAG